ATGAGAAATCACTTGAATAAATTTGACCCGTTTCTTAGCACTCATTCTGTATTATTTATATAATTTAATCATGAATTAAACCTTTACATTTTTATTGGAAAAAACTTCTTGATTACATGAAGAATGCAGTTGGAACAAAAGAGGCTGAAAGAGAAAATGTATAATAAAATGCTGCTGCTACTCTTTTGTAATAAATACAAGTGCCAGTATGATTAAATTCTTTCCATCAATTTTCTCTTTAGCAAAGTGTTTATTTCATATGGTATTGTTTTCCAAATAATTTTCTCTATGGTTCTTTTTCCTTTTTCTTTTTACCTCAGGAATAACAAATTCCAATTAGGATATTTATTTGAACTGGTACATTTATCTAAAAAGTTGAAAAATTTCCACTAACATGACTATTTCAAATAACACTTATATTTGGTTTGAGAGAGTACTCTCCAAAAACTTACTAATTCTATATAACTCTCAGAGTTGCAAAAATAAAGAAAAGAAAGGAAGACAGTATTATAGCTTCATTTAAAGACAAAAGATTCTTCAAAATTTGAAGGCTTAATATATACTCTTCTTTGCCCTTCTCTTCTATATTTTAAAAGAAATATATATCATGTACAAATAAGTATCCAATTAATGATTTTTGTGTTATTGACAAAGTATTTGTTCATTTACCTATTTTGTTTTGTTAAAAGCTGCTCATCTCGGCCCCTTACTGGCTTGTCAACAAATCTGGTGTTCCACTCATTTTCAAACAAGAACTCACTCGAAATGAAGCAGCTGGGCAATCTGAAGATCATGAGAAGGCAAAAAGTGTAACCCCATTACTCTTCAGTTTCACTGACAAGGAAGCACCAAACAGGTACGTTTAACATGTGACGCCTCAGATTTCTGTTGTTCTTGTAAATTTTTAGATCTTTATGTATAGATGGATAAAAGGAGCTAAAAGGCCACAACAGAAACCAAAAATGCATTTTAGAAATTCAATAGACAAGTCACTCACTGCTTTTAAAATCTGTCAGGATAATTTGTAGAATGATCTTACTGTCCAATTAAAATGGAGGAAACATTTATGAGGAAGCAAATTTCTTTGAAGAAAGCAGTCACAGTCATGCAAAAGTAGAAATAGCCACAAAAATGGATAGCCAGTGGATGATGACAATAAAAAATTTTGTGTGATATTTGTAGCTGTTTCTCTCTCTCAAGCTGGCCTGACCAGCCATATACATAGTCATATGCTAAGACCTCAAATTGAGAAATAATTTCTCCTGATCAATCTTGCACAACTTGTAATAATATAGAAAAAGTCTCAGATTAATTAAACATGTGAAATCTTATAATATCCATGTACAATCCAGTAATCTATCAAGACAAGAATTTTTGTGCAGCCTTTGCAGAAAAGTATATACAAAAATGAACTGAAAAGGCTGATGATAAAAAACTGATGCTAGAGCTGTGAAATCTTGCATGCATTAATTTCAACTCTTCTCAATAACGGCATTTCTTCTTTTCATGTAAACTGACATCCAATTGTTCAATGAAGACTTCAAGAGTAACTAATTGTGACTTCTCTGCAAAATGGGCAAAATTTTGCATCATTTTGTGTTATCAAGTACTTGCAGAAAAAAAGGTTTAGCTCCTAAGGGCATTCATGCTGACATGGTTCTTACATTAGGGGATGATGCTCCAGCTTTATCAATAGTAGAAAAGTAAGCAGTTGAATTTATGATGGGATGGTCTTGAAGATGACCCAATGTCTGGCTGTTACCACATGGTGATGGGTGACAGGTGATTGACTATAAATCAAATAGCCAATGCTATTAGCATGTCCTGTGAGAGAATCAAGAATATTCTGCAAAATGAACTTGGCATGATGAAGATTTCTGCTCGATGGGTACCACGTCTTCCTGCTAACGGGGCCACACCATCAATAGAGAGTACAATGTCAACTTGCTGAGACAGTTACAAAAGGCTATCAAGGCCAAACATTCAGGAAAACTGATGAAAGGTATCTTGTTTCATCAGGTCAATGTTCCAGCACACAAGTCTTTAGTTTCAATGGCTGTTGTACATGACTGTGGCTTTGAACTGGTTGATCACTCTCCCTATTCTCCTGATTTGGCTATCATCTGTTCCCCAACAAGAAAAAAAACACTTGGCTAGGAACCAGTATTGCAGTGATGACGTTTTTAACCAACAGAATGAACAGATGTCAGTTTGCCTGGGGAAAAAAACAAAACAATGCCATTATTAATAAGAATTGAAATTAATGCATGAAAGATTTCACAGCTTTAGCATCATTCCTTCATAGTCAGCCTATGATCTTTTCTACCCATCTTCATAAATTCACTGAGTTATTGTAAATCAGACAATTTACAGGTCACTTTATTTTATTCATTTTTTTTTTTTTACTTTGTAATATTTCATGTTTTTAATTTTGGTTGACTCAAAATATCAACAGTCATCAAAATGCATGACTGACTTTAAATTATAATCATTTAAGCTTTCTATTTAAATTTCTTTTGTATATTTATGTGCAACTGTAAATGTATATATTTAATAAACTTATCTTTTGTTTGGTACAAAGCAAAATAAGTATAGGAAAATTGTCTTATGCCAATTCTCTAAGTAGGGAGGGTATTTGAAATCATTAATTTTTTTTTTTTTTACATATGCTTGAATACTGGCCACTGGTGTAAATAGGAAAATGTGCATCTACTTCAGCCATTACAGTGAAGTTTATATAGATTAAAAAAAATAATTTTTACTTCTTTCGAATAAACTTTACTGTAAAAGAAAATATTTTACAAACAAATATACATTTTAAGGTATTGACGAAGAAAATGAAAAGAGGAAAAATAAAAGAATTTGATTGACACAATACATGTTATGTATATTACCCTGCTTTGATTGCCTAGAGATTTCTGCCAATCTCCACTAGGTGGTGCTGTTTAAAGCCGTACAAAAGGAAAAACGCATAAACTTTTCTCTCTTATCCACAGGATACTGCAGTGAAAAGCCATCTCCCCCCCACACACACACACACACACACTCTGGGGTATTTCTTAGTCCCCAACAAACTATATATGACATACAACACAAAGCTATCTCCTGTTAAAAAAAATTTCTTATATGGCCACAATATCTCCATTGCAGCCTACCACACACACACACACACACACACACACACACACACACACACACACACATATATATATATGCACACATTGTATGTAACTTTATCTTGCAAGACATTGAACACTTTATTCAAAAATTGTTAGCTTGCGATTGACTATTATATTTCAGTTGAATGATTAATAGTTATACACACATATCTCCCTCCCCCCAGCAGTTGTCATTTTGAGATTCATTTTAGAGTATTTGAAACTTTTTTTTTTTTTTTCTGCTTTTGATTTTTTTGTTATTCAAGAATAGTTTCAGGTAATGTCAAAATTGGGTAAGCATTTGTTTTTATTCAAATGTATCATTTCTCATATAATTTGAATAAATGTGAATTAAAAGTAATTATCTTTTAATCAAATTATAATTACTCACATAAATAATTTATTCCTTTCATCCTGTTGGTCTCTGAATTCATCACTCTGATGCTTGTACATTGTTGCAGGCACAAAAGACAATTTTTATTGTGACATGATTGAGATACTTTCTTTGATAAGAGATTTATGGTACCATTTTGATGATTGCAACATTTATCATTCTTTATCACTATCATAACTTTAACTGTTTACAGATGTTCAATGAGAGCAGGAAAGCTAACAATGCCAAATGAAAACATTTTTCCTCAATGGTAAGTAATGCATATCAGTTTCTTCTCAGCTATTTTCTTTTTGTAGAGATTAAATCTTCACTTAAGTCTTACTCAGAATAAATGACAATAAATATCTAAAACCTGAAGAATCAAATGTTTAAGAAAGTTTACTTTGCATGAGTTTTATTATCAGTTCAAGTTGTAATGTTGAATATGTATGTAAGCACAACACAACACAAATGTAATGAGATAATTTCATCTTCTCACTATGGAAACTGTTTGTTAATCTACATTACAGCTCACATTATTATCCACTTTTAATTTTCCTAAGTTTTAGAAATGTAATGAATGGTTTCACAGAAATAATTAATATGCAGGATATTTCAAATTCGTATGAATTATAATAGAATTTATGCCACGCTTATGATGTGGAAACATTATGGTTTTTCCTAGATTTTCCAAGTTTCACATTATTAGATAGGTTATTGAAACTCAAAAGAACTTTGTAATTAAAAATTACAAAGTAAAATGTTCTAAAGAAAAATAAACAATGTCATTGTAATTGACAAAACATAAAGACAATATTAATGCAAAATGTATGTCCCCTGTTCTGAAACTAGTCTATAAGTTGTTCATCCATTGATTTTTGTAAGCTATTTTACTTCTTCATATGAAACAGACTGCATGACTTTCAGAATGGCTTTCCAACATTCATTTCTGTTGGTAAATTGCTATCTGCCAATCTAATTTTTCTACAGAATGCTCCAAGTTTTCACTTTGGTTAAGGTCAAGTGAACAAACTGGCCTCTTCATGAAGCAAATGTCTTTGAAACTCATTTTATCTGGATATTCATTAGGTTTCATTGCTGAATTTCAAGGAGAATTGTTGTGGCTCAAAATTATCTTTCTGAAAGCATTTAGTTTCTTGAACCATGGCTCCATGTGTGCCTTCAAAAAATCAACGCATATCTTAAAAACATGTTCACTACTCCAATACCTACAATTACACCCCAAAACATCACAACACCTCCACCTTGCTGATGTCTCAACCTGTGAGGTTTGTTTCTACTAGTAGCCACTCAACCTTTGCTCTAGATGTCTAACTCTTCAAGGGAAGAATGATATTCATTAGTGAAGAGAATGATTGAAAATTTGGTCTTGTACATTTCATTCAATTTTCTTTATGAATTTCTATTAAAGAAACCCTACTAAATAATATCTAGGATATCTAATATCAACACCTTCTCACTTTCACAGTAACTAAAATGTTTCTGACTTGGCAAAGACAGATTTTGCATAATATCTTTCTTGATATAGGTCACAGATTGGCAAGATAAAGGCCTCTACTTGCTCTTAGCAGATTTGCATTAGTTGTCTGAGATCAATTAATTTCAATTCATTGGTACCTGATGATAATTTGTTTCAATTTCCAGCATTATTTTATCTTTTGCAAACTCTTAAGTTAGTAAACATTTTTTAGCTGTCGAATCATCCTTACAACCCATTTTAAGGTTTCAAACTTACAATGTGGCTATTAATTTCTGACTTCAGAATCAAGCCATTTCATACAAAGATCTGCTATTAGTTTACATCTTTGTAGAATGAACTGCTTTCATCTTAACTGCACACAAATGTTGCTATCATTCAGCAAAGAAACCTTCAAATTGCAATGTAATTTTATATATCTTATGCTTACACAGTTTTTTATAAAATATCTTTGCATTGTTTCTCTCATTTTTTGTATACATTAATGACTTTGTTCTATTGATAAGTTACATTCAATGATATTATGTCATGTGTTGATATTGTTGTTTGCCAGTAGGTAAATATTTTAGTAATAAATGAAATACTGAAAACTTTTTAATCATTTCACCCCAAGCAGGGTGATAAAGCCACTAAGATGCAAGTGGTTACTGAGTGTGAATGAATCCGAGAAAAAAAAACATTAAGGAGAGAGGTCCATAAAAATACAAATATTAAATGATGATGGTTGATATTGCATTTAAATTTTTGAAGATCAGTTGACAAGAAAGCAAGACGGAAGAGAGAAGTGCTAGAGACAAAACTGTTGGGATAGAACTTAAAATCAATTATTCATATGAATTAACTGCATTAGTTCAATAGTTTCTCAAAATTGCAAAATTTATGCTACTCAATAAAATTTAAGTTACTTGGTATTAACTCCTCATTTGCATATAAATCTTGCTTCAAAATATTTTCTTTGACTAATTCTTTATAATCCTTTGTAATCTTGCTTGTTATTAGTAATAAAAATAATGATTTGTAGATACTTAAAAGATGGATGGACAAATAGATAAGTTGAGTACGTTTATAACTAAATTTCTTCTTGCAGGTGTTCCCGTTTCTCTCTTGATAGTGGCATTGGAACTCGTCAAGTACACATCTCCTCAAAAGATACTAACAGTCCTGACTGGTAAGCATATATCTTTCCTGTATTTTTTTTCCTTTTTTCATTTACATCTTTCTCTGTCATATTGGCTATGAGTGAAAGATTTTTTTTTCTTGCTTTACAACTGTTTCTCAACATTTATTCATTTCTCTACTATTTTACAAGTTTTGCAGCCCTTAAATACTCTCCTGTTCAAACCACTCTTGACAGATAAACTTTGTTTTAACCTTGTTTGCTTGTTCCTCTCAGTTCTACTGGTAAGGAATGTAATGATGGTATATATGTTATTTAACAACTTCAGGAAATTGCATTCCTTTCTAATTGGCTTAGCTTTCACTCTTAACCCTAGAAGGACTCATTAGGATGCTGATGTGCTGAGTTGTCCACCAGTCTCCTTTGTCTGTTGCTATCTTGTGCCAGGGCCTGGGTCTCCACAAATGGTTTCTCATTTCACATATTGTCACTCCACTTTACTTTTTTCCCCCTCCTCCTACATCCCACTGCGGTTCCTTGAAGAACTGTCTTTGCAAGGCCGTCTGATCATGTCATAACATATCAGCTTCCTTTTCTTCACTGTAGTGAGAAGGTCTTGGGGGCCAATGTGCTGCTGAATTGTGTACAAGGTTGTTGATGTGGTCAAGGCATGAGATGCTCAAGATGGTACGATGGCATCTCATTTCCAGTGTCTGTATCTTTCTTTGTGGGCATCTGTCTCACATGTATACAGAATGCCAGTGCATGCAGGAGCCAGATCTTGTACTGCATGGAGATGACTGCACTCTCTAAGCTGACGAAGACCTTTCTAATAGGAAATTGTATACCAGCAATGGGCACATCAATAGAGGTTTCATGTTCTCATCCATTAGAAACCGCTTTCCGAGCTCTGAATGCATTGATTTAATAGAAGAACATTATGTCTGACAAGGATCTCTATATGGAAACATTTCAAACCTCATCAGGAGTATGACAAGGAAGAAGTAAGAGCCCTAGTCTATTTTAATCTTTTCCTAGACTATGCCCTGCACATTTACAAACACAGATGTAAAGAAATGGGCACTGGTCATTTAAACCTTCTATACCAGATTCTAAAATAATCTAAAAATAGTTCCTGCTTTCCCTCCTGAGGTCAATGTACTGATGCTGATGACAGAGATTGACTGCACTGGAGGGAGTTTTGCTCAACACTGCAGATTGCTACAAAATCAAAATATTAACCTGAAAACTCGGCTCATGTTCTTAAATAGCATTATCAGATTGAGACTTTTATATTGATGTTCTGCATGGTACCAAACCCATTTAGAAATCTCTAAGCTGTCAGCTGTATATAATCACATTCTCAGATAAGTGGTTAAAAAATGACTGAGTGAGTGAAGCCTGTGGGTCTTGGTGAAGACCATCCTTTTTCAAACCTTATGACTGTGTTATAGAATCACAGTTTCAAATAACAGAAGTTAGATAACTTAAGGACTTTCAACAGCAGCAACAATTAAAATGGATAACTTGAAGAGAAAATAATGATATAAAAAAGATGTTGACATTCCACATTACTTCAAATAAGTGGGTAGGAAGGAAACCCCAGTCAGCACTGGAAATAGTGATAATGTCTACTGAACTGGAGAAACTTGTTTTTCTGAAAAATTGCTTCGGGAGAAAGATTTCATAAATTTCAACTGACAGTTGCACTGGCTGCTTGTCCAACAAATGCCAAATGTTTCCTGATAAGGAAACTGCTAATATTACCATTCCAATTTTGACAACCCTAATTTGAGATGTTGGTTAAATTTTGCTATTTGGGCATCTGTCTGATATCATTCTTTTCTAATTCTATTTCTTGCCTCATTTTCTTGACCCAAAATAATTTCATGTCATGATATTGGGGTTCTCTTTACTCCTACTTGAGGTGAATTTTGCATTGTGTTGTGCCCCTTTCAAAGTTCTGGTTTTCTCAAATGCAATAATATAGGTTTTAATGCAGATAAAAAGTACGAGGTCATTTAACAGGGACTTTGTTTTATTCTAGGCAAACTCTTTCAAAAAGTCTATCAGAGATGTAGGAAAAACAAAATCTTGCATGTTACAGGTTAATGTGATCTGGTTGTTACAGCTAGAGATGTGCTTGCAGACTGCTTCTCTCTACCATAATAAAGTCACACTATTTCTTCCTAAGAGGAAGAAAAATTTTTTTAAGCATTTCACCCCAATTAAGGTGGGAGTGCCACTATTATCCAAGGGGCTACAGAGAGTGTAAGTAAGGGAAAAGATTGGATATAGGTAGTGGGGGGAGGTGAGGAAAGGATAAAAAGAGAAACAGGAAGATAAAAAAAAAAAAACGTGAATCAAAACAACAGATGTCGATTGACATTACATTTCAATTTTTGAAGATTATAGCTATCAAGGAAGCAAGTAAGAGGAATGGTGTTCTACTGCCGGGAAGTGTGAGAGAAGCAACTGTTGGAGTAGAAGAAACGGCTACATGTAACTGTTTCAACAGTAAAAGGGTTGGACCAGGATGTCAACCTAGTAGCACGCTTAAATTCGTGCAATCAAAGCACCAGTGAAAATAGCTTGTCAGAGCAGTTAGCATGAAAATATTTATAAAAAAGACAGAGGGAAGTCACATTATATCGGTGAGAAAGTGATTGGAGTTAAGACCCCCAGTCAGGACCAATCATATTGCATACCTGTCTTTGGGTTTTGTTGAGAAACTCAAAATGAACTCCTGGGACACCAGACCATATATGACAACAGTATTCGATGCATAGACAAATGGTATAGCATGACTTTCTTATGGTAGCCTGATTTTCTGATGGCTTAATATGCTCTTTATTTTAAAATAAAAAGAAAAGGGCAGCAGTTCTAATGAGATCTCACCCTTAGTACCTCAACTGCATGAATTTAAGCACAGTACTAGATTGGCAAGTAGGTCTCATCATTTTACTTTTGAAATAGCTAGATGTAACTATAAGTTCTATTCTAATAGTTCCTTTTCTCACACTTCCCACCTGTTGAACTCTTTTCTGATTTCTTGCTTCCCTGCTACCTACGATCTTCAAAAGAATTTAGATGCAATGTCAATAGTAATATTCTGTCTTCCTAAAACCTGTTCTCTTATAGTCCTTTCTCCTCAGTAAAGTCTTCTCATTTTCTTCCATTCCCAGTAACCCCTTGCATCTTAGTAGTATTAATGCTTTGCTTGGGATGAAATGATTTAAAAAAAAAAAAAAAAAAAGTGCATTTGACAGACAAAATGTTTTTGCTTGCATACATAGCATTGTTTACTACAGATGACAAAAAATTCTGAATTTATAAAACAATAAAACAGTTTTTAAAATTACAATTTTATCTTTTACTTTATGGTTGCAGTTTTAGAAATTTTTATAAAAGGTAAATAATATTGCATTGTACTTGGTTTGCATATTTTTATAATCTTGTAACTAAACATTGCTAAGGGTGTCAAAAGTGTATATAGTAATAGTGGTGTCAAAGGAATAACTGTCCTTTTGATACATTATTTTATTTGCTGTCACAAAGGTTAAACATTGCCATTTTTTTTCCTATGTCCAATCTTGATAAACTCTTTTTTTTGCTCTCATTTGGATTCTGTACATTTTAACTAATAAAATAAATATTTGGATTAAAGATTGAAATTTTTCTTATTGTTTGTCTTGTAGGGTGTTTACTATTGGAATTGAAGTCAAGCAAGGGCGTGGTATGTATCGGGACACCAATATTGTGACTTTTGCTCCACGGTACTGTATTGACAACCAATCAAATTACAAACTATCCATTGCACAACGACATTTTACTAAAGAAGAGGTAAGTAACTTTCCTATAAATTGTATGTATGTATTTTCAGAATGTAGCAAATAGTAAGCTTGCTAGCAAAACCTGTGGCTTAAAGTGTAGGCAACTGTCTCGACTAATTAGTTGCCAGAGACATCATCAGTGGCAAGGAGATCAACAAAAAAAATCATAGAAGTGGTCGTACTTAGATACAAGTTGACTTTCCACCATATTTAGATAATCATTTAATTGTTCTTCAATAGTGTTGTTGATGTTTGTGTATAGTTTTTTCTTGCATTAACCTCCTATACTGTGTAATATTAAAAAAAAAGTATCTAAAGTCTATCTGATGACGTGAAATATTCATAAAATCAAGTGGAGGTTGCATTGTGGAATGGACCCTCAAAAAGATGCTTCTCAAATTATTACAATCTTAACCTCTTCATGTCTCAGTTCAATTGTTATTTCTCCTACATATCATACTTGCTCCTTTTTTATGTTCTTGCAGCAACTTCATTTACCTTGAGTGGCTCTTGGGGGAACAGTAGTTAAAAAAAAAAAGAATAGTGGGGAATCAAATGAAATTAGTTTCAGATGTCACAGTATTGTAAATTATATTTTTGCTTTCATAGCCACAGTTCCTCCAGCTCATCCCCCCTCATGTCGGGTGTTTGGTTCTTACTGGTTGCATCACTGCTATAGTCTTGTGCAGGCTAAGTTAAACTTTGCAAATATGAAGGCTTACCTTGTATCTGAAAAAGCTACATATTTTCCACTGATGTCAGAGGTCAATATTCAATCACAGATAAAAACCAATATTTTAAATGATTTTTCAAAGTAAGCAGATAGTCTTATCTTCTTTTCCTTCACTTGGCCTCATGTCCTAAATTTATTAAATAGTGTCTGATACTTATAAAATGCCTGACTGTTATATTAAATACTCTACAGATTAAGGAGCTTACTCCCATGAAAGATATATAAGTGTATGTATGATCAGGTGTATAAATATTTTAATTTTATTTCATGACCTTTTAATGTATAAGCATTTTAAACAGCAATAATGCTTTGTTAAACTTTCATACGGATCCCAACTAAATAATCAGTGTTTAATATAATGCATAAGTTGAGCTTGACTGAAAGGTTTCAACAAGTATACAGTGCTTTCAGTTGGTAGAGCTAAATAAAGCATTCAGTTGTACTAAGATTTCTTGAGTTGCTTACTGTTATATATTCTTGAGATATCATCCAGCACATTAGGAATACAAATATAGCAGGATTTTATGTTTGTCATGTCTTATTAGCAAATAATAATAATGGGCATAGCTAACAAGATAACAAAATCAATTTTTTCATCAACCACTTTCTCTAATGAAAGTTCATTACAGAGACAAGCTTCCTTTTGTTGCATTTTTCCCTCCAAAAATGGGACAGGTTGTCATTACATTGTAAAAAAATATATGAAACAGGAATAAATCTTTATTTGTTATACTAAAGTTCACCCAATATAAGGTTCAAGAGTCACTCAAGGTAGAGGGTTACTGAATGGGGTGCTTAATATGAATGTAAGTGGATGTAGAAAGATGTGAAGAACACGAGTATAAGAAGGATAGACAACAATTGACACTTGACTTGAACAAGCTAAGTTTGTAATGATCAAGGAAGCATCTACATAGTCTATATTTTTCTTTTAAATCTTTTCACTCCAAGAAAAGTGATAGACTCACTAAGAAGCAAGGGTTTATTGAGAAAATGTTATTGAGTAGAAAGGACAATAAAAGAAGTCTTCTTTTTAAAGACAGAAGATGGCGATTGACATTACATTTAAATTTTTGAAGATTGTAGTTGACAAGAATGCAGGAAACCAGAAGAGTTCCATAGAGGAGAAGTGTAGGAGAAGAAACTATTAGAATAGAACATGGTTACATCTAGCAATTTCAGCATCAAAATTGAGACCTAACTGCCAATCTAGTACTATGCTTAAATTCATAAATCAGTTACACAAAGTAGTAGTTCTTTGAAAAAAGCTGTCTGTGTAGAACTCCTTACATTTGTAACAGAGGAAATGATGGTGACTCTGTGGAGATAGTATGGTGTGTCCTAGCTGTAAGGGTCTGAATTGGTAGAACTAAAGAACTGTTATCAAATTAAGCTGCTATAAAGATTTTCACTGCCAGATTAGGTCATACTAAAATGGTATATTTCTTTTTTTATTCAAATTGATACAACAGTAAACAAGTTTCAAGAAATCCTCTCAATATTTGGAAAAATGTTGCAACACAATCTTTTGATTATATTTAAAATTAACAAATGAACAAGCAGAAATTAGAATAAAGATTTGTATTTTAATCTCCAGAAGTTAGTCAGTTATGTGCCATGCGTGATACACGCTTAGGTGATCATATATCTTTTGATAGATTATTGATGAGGCAGACATTTTTTTCTGCAGTAGGTTGCCATTTCTTTCTATGGTAGACCAGTTGCCATCCAAGGCTATAGAAACTGGTCTATCCTGCTATTTACCCATAGTTGGGGGAAGGGGGAGAAGAGGATTCATAACTTTCCCAAGGGTATTAGCACATAAGTGAATGTAATACCAAAAGTATATAACCATTTTAAAGAAATCTTGTTCAATTTTTATATTTATTTTTCCATTCTTTTAACAGAATGATCTAGAAAGTGTTGTGCGATTCCTGATAGCACATCCTAAAAGTTCTATGCCGTTTCATTGGCCACGGGTAGACTTTGACACCCTCCTCTGTGTAAAAGTGGTTGATGAAGAGCAGCAGTATCATTGGTCAGGTGGTTTCAGAATTGACAAAGTTGATTCATTTCATATAAACATAAGGTAGGTAACCATTACTTTGAAAATAAAAATTCTCTTCAAGTAGCATTTTGTTTGGATAATTTCTTTTTATTTCATTTTTAGTTTTTCTCTCTGAATCAACTGTCAATTCTTTTCTTAAGTGTTTTCCTTGACAGGAAAATAAAATAATGGGACACATTTTCCTTTGTCGGACTTCTCACTCTCTAGACTGGTTGACATTAATTTCACAGTTTGAAAAAAGGGGTCTCTACTCAAACATATGTACCCACTAAATATGATGTTTAAAGTAATAAATAATATCAGATTGCAAATCCATTAATTGTTTAAAGAGTATTTAGATATTAATGATTATATTGTAATCATTCTTATTCTTCAGATAATAAATTATAATTTATTTTTCCTTTCATTACATATTCAAATCACAATTAATTAGGATTTGATTATGCTTTCTAAAATGTTGTTTAAGACATAATTTTTAGTAAGTGACAGTCAAACATTTGTAGATTTTTTGAAAAATCATCAAAATCTAGAGACATTGACTAATGTTTTCACTTAATTATTTTCCAGAGATCTCTATGGCAATTCTTTGCTTCTGAAAGTTGAAGTTATACTTATTGGACCAACACTCCATGTTTTATTCTACAACTCTGATGACATGCCACCACCCTTCCGTATTGATAACTACTCTTTGGTAAGAAAATATTTACTTACTTTGTAAGGTCTTTCATAGCCCACTTACCATTTTATTAAAATTAATTTTATGATAATTCTGTTTGTTTCAGAAATAAATTTAGTGAAATATCAAACTTTGATATTTCAGACATTTACCATGTTGGCATAGTAAAAAAAGTTCACTAAATTTATTTCTGAAATCTCTCAATCAGATTCTTCTGGATGTAAAATGCATATCATTTTGGTCATTAATTGTTCCTTATTTTCAAGTAATATTTTAGGCCAAAACCTTGTAGAATTCAACTTTATATTTTGAATATCTAATAAATCTGATTGTTCAATATTTCTTAGAACAATTAGCCCTTCATGTATTAAAAATTCAAGCAACCTTGTTGAAAGACTAAGAGTTATGAATATAAAAGATAAACTCCTGGCTAGTTTAGATATACACTACAAGCTAACATACCTGTTAACAAATGTTTAAATTTCCTAAGAAAACATCTGGAACAATAAAAAAAAATTAGCCTCCTACTGATAGACAAAATTATGAAGATTTACTGACTTATTACAAACCAATGTTTCACTTTTGATAATTTTTATAAACAGAAATTCAGATTAACAATGGAATTACCTCTTAGTAGTATTTTTGCATATTTTTTCTGAGAATTTCTAGAAACTGGTCCTTTCCAAAATATTTTACCTAAAAAATCTTCATACTTCCAATATATCAATGTTTCTTCATGGATGTACTGCAGAAAAATATTATGTAACTACAAGCTGTCAGAAATGGGGGGAAAATTTTTTTTTTAATTAAAATTTTTTTTTCTTTCAAGAATTAAAAAATGTATTTTTGTATAATATTGTGATGAATAACAATGTAATTAACACATGTTGCTGCATGTAATTTATTTTTAATTTATATATTTATATTTCTTCTCCAGAGAAAACAATATTATGACTGTTTCCTGTTTCAAAAGCAAATTATGTTTACATGTATGATCTTCCTTAGTGAAAAATTTCCAATGGTTTGAAATGATGAAAATGTTATTTTCACCAAAAGTTTACAAAACTCAAGAAACATTGTACTTAATCATTGTTTATCTATGTGGTTATGTGTGTAATAGTAAAAAGTTGAGAATGAAACAATTAAGAAATGTTATTTTCCTTATTAAATTAAATGTACCATTCAAAAAGACCAAACAACCCCTGCCAGGGGCCAGCAGTTTGCCAATGACTGATTTAGTCAATATTTGTTTCTTTGATAGATTCCCATTGAATACTACCAGAGTAGTGTTAAGGAAGTGGTTTTGCGACAATATATCAAACCAATGACGTCATGTAAGTTTCATTATTATATTTCATTTTTACTGGTGTATCACGTTGAAACACCGCTTCCTGTACAATCACTAAAGTTAAGCAACATCAAGACTAGTCAGTACCTAGATGGATGATCACTTGGGAATACCAGGTGCTGTAAACTCGGATGTGCAGGTGGTGTAATAGATAAGGTCTTGGAATTGTTAAATGAAGAGCTGAGTTCCAATTCCCATTGAGTTCATTATATTCACTTACGTGCAAATACTCTTGGGAAATGTATAAATCCACATCTTCTCCTTCCAGATATGGTTTAATTAGTAAGATTTGTATAACTAAACAATTATTATATATAAAAAAAAAGAAATTCTTACAATCTAAAAAAAAATAAATAAATATATTTTCTGGTTTTAAATAACCTGCAAAGTGTTGATAAGCCCTAGAAAATGAATGAATGAATCAATCAATCAATTTTTTTATTTAATCAGACAATAGTATTAGGAATTTGTTATAACTCTGTAATTAAGCTAATGTGTATTTTTTGTTCTTTGAAAAGCTTTTACTTATTTTCTTTGAATTTTATCTCAGATGTTATTTATACTCATTTTTCTTTGTAATCCTTCTGAAATTCCTTAATCATGGAAATTGGATAACCTCATACTTCAAAGCGCATTATAAACCATTTTAGAATTGTAGACATGTGCACAGGTAAATTTCCTTTCCATTGCTCTGTTTAATGGTTGATCCAAACAAAATATCTTGATTGTACATTGAAAGATGTCCCATGACAGTTAACGACATAGCTTATATTTCTGACTTCACACCAATTGCAGATGATATTCTTGAAATTGCTGAATTGGTTTCATGTAGTCTGCTAATAGAAACAAAACTCTAAAACTGGCTGCCATTGATTCTGAATTTATTTTTTCACTCTCTGTGACATGAGACTCACTTTACATCTTTCATATATTTCCAAAATAATTAGAATGTGTATATAATTTGTACATATACTGTTGATAGTCATGCTGTAATATTCATATTTTACTAGTACCCTATGCTTGGGATGAGCCTATTCTTGAGCCCTATATCACTCTGGGCATATCTGGAGGAACCTGTGCCACCTACAACATGAACAAACCCGGTGATGGAGAACAGCTTTGTTACCAAAACTTCATATTTCTGGCTGCAACTTCCACATTCATTGGGTAAATTTATTTTGCTTTTGTTTGTTACTGAATTAATGTTTTTAGAATGGCTTTATTTTTTTATTATTTTTATATTTATTGCATTTTTTTAAAAATATTAGTTTATCTTATTCTGAAATGAGAAAATTGCCATGTAGCCACTGTTAAATATAAGTCTTAAACATTTTGTATATTTGATCTCATGACTATATAGAAATTTTGAAAGTTAAAACAAAATTGTTAAAAAATTTGAAGTTTGCCAAATATTATCTACATTACATTTATCTTTTCCTTCCCATTTGTAACTGTTAGTGGATCCTTTGGTATATTAAATTCCTAATGCCTTTCAACAAGACAAACAAGAGATTACTGACTGGGCTCTTAAGAAAGTAAGAGGGAAGTGGTTATTATTCATGAAAATGTCATTTCTTCATTGAATAAGTTTAATAAATGCTTTTTTAGATTTTTCTTTGCCAAAAGTTAAAAAAAAAATGTAGTCAGAATGCACAAGTAAATATTCCATAGTAACTGCACTATAGAATGACTATATTTTTTATTTTAGGGATATGAACATAAAGACATCTTCAACCTCTCATGGTTCCGCTTCTGAAGAATTGGTTCTTGATGCTATCAGTTCTCGTATTGTGTTTAAAAGAAAGGTAAGTACAATTATTTCCTATCTTCTTTATTTAAATATATACCTATTGTACACACAGCACTGTGGAAGCATTTTATAAATTTATAAACTTATTCCCCATGTCCCAAAGTACAGCCATTATGTAAAACTTTTATGTGATTAAATCATAAGTATTGGGTTTTTAATTTTGCAGATGAACAAATTTAGTTCTTATTATTATTTTATTTATTTAGCAAGAAAAAAATAGAATATCTTTTGCAAATTAAAGTATCTAAGTGTTTTCATATCATTCCTTTGATTTTATTGATTGCTTTTTTTTTAGTTTCTTATCCATCCAGGATGGATTCTACAATTTAAGAATTTGTAACTTTATCATTGTAAAGATTGTAGCAGATGTTAAACCTTTTCACTAGACATGCATTGATAAACCTTTCAGCAACCACAAGCCCTTTTCAGCTTTTAGGTATACATAAAAAGAAAAACCAGGAGTATGTGAGCTGTGAATTCAAAGATGTTAGTTCTCTTTGATTTCAGACTTAAGATTGGGATAGGATGCTAAAATTAGCACTCTGTGCATTAGACTAACATTGCATAGACAATACACCCCACTCACTCTTTAATACACCAACAGAGTAAGTTCAACTTTTCCTTCATTCTTTACAGAGAGTCTCTTAAGAACATTCTTGGAATTTGCACTTTTTTTCATGAATTATTCTCAAAGTTTTCTCCACAGGAAAAAGTTCCCAATAGAATAAAAATTTCTATCATGTTTTGTTTCACTATTCTGTTGCCTATTTTCTTAACCAGTTCAACACTTTTAGTTTTTGTTCAACATGTGACACCTCAAATGATGGCCCTTAACCTAATAAAACCTCTCATGAAAAATTGTTTATTCACCTCCAGACTTTGTCAGTTAATATCGACATAAGAGTGTGTGGCTTTCCCTATATATGGATCTCCCTGTGAGAATGATAGACACTCTCTATCTTTCCCTGCTCAGGTGGAGTACATATATCTTCCTGTTATTTTGTTGTCCTGTGTGTGTGTGTACATTCTAAGCATAGCTATGTCAATCACCTGTTTACATGTTGGGGGCAGCCACTGAAATCCTTTGTGGTTGAAATATATCCCTGGTTGCTTTGAGGTCACCTTCCAGATCAACCCACTGTTGCATCTGGCTCCTTTGATATTCTAGTGTGACACTGAGTGCATTGTCTATTTTAGTATCTCTTTGGGTGAACCCAATATATATTGGGATCGTCATTGATCAATTTCTTTTAGAAAAAAGTTCTTTATAGACATTAAATTTGATTCAGACCATTTGATGTGGATCACATACTATAACTCCATAACAAACTTTTTAAAAGACCTTTTGCAACTCTAATTCAAAGAAGACATTTACTAATTCCTCACACATCCTGCCTCATGGTTGATGTTAAATTTAGTTTATGCTACAAGGAATTAGTTTGTAGCAGGTAGATAATAAACCAAATAAACTCTATTTTTTTTTTCTTTCCTGAAATGAATTGAATGGAAGGGAAGAAATTTCTTATTCTGGAATAGAACCAGGATTTGCCTATATTGTTATAATTAATTTGTCCATTGTTCTCAAACAATGATTCTGTATAAAACTTAAATATAAACAGTGTTTCTCTAAAACTATGTAACAAATAATTAAATTTTATTTTATTTAATTTATAGGAACTAGGAAAAAGATCCCAACTCTGGCGTATGACAGGTGAAGGCATGTTAGAAAATGAAGGGTCTGCTCCACCCCAAGAACCAGGAAAAGTCACACGTAATGTGCTTGGTTTGGTGTTGGACACATCAGATATCGCCCCTCAGCCTGGTAAATGTGTGCCCCTAATTCTACGTAAACCAGATGAACGCAGGAGAGCTACACAGTTGTGGAAATTCACTGATGTAAGTATTTGCTACTTGACAATCTATAAAAACATGTTAATAAACAATGGTTAGACTTCTTGGATATAAATTTTCATTCAATAATCAGTCTGTTAATTATCAATAAATCTATTAAATGCATTCAGTTATCAACTTTTGTGTGTTAACATTTTTTTAAATATCTGTAATTATTAATTTGTCATAAATAATTGTACGGCATGAAATTTATCACAACTAGTTGGTATTTTTCATGTGGCTTTAAAAATTTTATAAGTTCAAATTTAAATATTTTTTACTCACGGTAAACTTAGGTCTTAATTTATTCTTTGCTAAAGTTTGTATATTAGGCTATTGCAAAAGTATGTGCCCAATTCAGAAAATTAAAAACAAAAGTTTAAAGACTAACAGAAATATTTATTAGTCAAGTAGATAATCTACATTGTTTTTAACAGCTGTCTTCCATTGTTTTGCAAGCTTGTTGATACCATTTTCATAGAAACTTTGTTTTCTGTCATTTAAATTGTTCCATAGAAACCGGAACAAATGAAAATCCAAAAGTTGTTGTGGTGAAAAATGACATCTTTTTGATTTGCCAAAATCATCTGTTTTTCTTTAATAGCCACATTGAGATTGGTGAATTGGTTACAATACTACTATACAGTTTTTTATTTTACCAGCTGGAAGAAGCTCAAAGTAAATTATCCCTCTGCAATCTAACCAAATGGACAGAAACACCTTCATGTGATATAAGCATGATTTAGCCACATTCACAAACTTGTTTCCAGTTCCATTTCTGTCAGATGTTATCATAAACAATCCATGTCCAAGAATAGCTCCTTTTTATGGCACGACAGCAAAGAAATTGCTGCAGAAACACTGTCAAGATTATTCTGTTCCATCAGAGAATGTGGCACCCACATGTCAAGTTTGGAAATGAACCCAAGTCTCTTCAAATGGCGAAAGGCAGTGGAGATATCAATTTTCAAACTCTAAGGCAATATCTTCTGTTAAAATCTTTAGTTTATTCTCCATGATGATATGATGATTATTTTCAATCGATATTGGAAGGTTGCCTGGATCATGGTTGATTGTTTAGTTTAAAATCACCCCGCTGAAATCTGCCAAACCACTTTTTGACATCAGAAGAGCTGAAGCATGATTCAAATAAATCTTAAAGTTTTTGTCACAGTTCCAATGCTTGCTTACTTTCCAAAATTCATAGAGCATAATATGTTGAAAGTGCTACTTCTCAACCTCCATCTTTAAGGTATTCATTTGTGGACAAAATGTCAACATTTGACACAGTCTGACTCAGAACTGAACAATGCAAGGTTTCAATCTAGAACATACCAGAAATTGGCACCAAAACAAACATCAGTGTTAACAATGAAAATCAGGCATAAACAATGATCGATATAAAATCCATTGAAGACTACTTTATGGTATGCATTAAGATAACCCTGGTTACTTTTCTGATTTAATTGACATTAGAATTATCAAAAGTTTTTAATCCTTTTATAAAAATAAGTAAAGCAAACTTTTAAGTTTAAATTGGATCATAAATCTTTGGCAACTAAGATATTACATTTGTCTGACAAATATATTTATTAATACATATATAATCTGACATTTTTATTACTTCAAATGTTATTATAGTAAATAAATAAAAATGGGTTGTCTGCTTCAAATAAGTGCCTGCTATAATAATGTTTGAAATAATAAAAATGTCAGATTAAAAATAAATCTATCAATTCTTTAGAAATTGCTTTGTTTATGTTTTGGATACAAAACTGAGCAGATATAGGCTCTTGAGAAAAATAATCTGAGTGAAGGGGATGTACTTTCCTTAAAAAGGGTAAAACAAGCCTTGCCTACTGTGAAGTCTGTCATGGCTGAGTGGTAAATCATGCTGGATCAAATGGTAGTTTCTTTTACAAAAGGGAAACTCAGGTTTGATCTCTACTGGAGGACACATTCGATTTCTTGAATGTGCAAGCTGATAGACATATTAAACACTGTTTAATAAATAAATAAAAATGTGGCATCTGTTTCAAATATAATGTTTGAGATAATATATATGTTTGAATTTCTGATATGAGAAGTTATTTACATGTGATTGTTTTTATCTTGGTTGTTGCTATCAGTGTTTTGGCCATTGTATTCTCTGGCCTTCATAAGGTGCTTGTTGATTAAAGTAACCTACGGGGAATTTTGAACTGAACCCTTTATTTAATCTATAGGGATAGATTGTTCTTGTTCTGCTGCCCATGCTTAGCTAGTTCTTATTTAGTACTGCTCAGTTATTGTTTCATTTCCCTTGAGTCCAAGAACACACTGTTTGACCCAGGGATTGAACTCACAATTATTATGTCACCAAATTCATGAATTAATGCTTGAATCTGCTTGGTTTTTGTCTCATAGGATAAATGGGAGTGGAGAACATGGAGTCTTAAACCTGCCTGCTGCTGAGTGATGCTGCAGCTTGTCACAGTTGACTGCACTTACCAAAACTTCTCTTTTTACTGCAACTGTTGGAGAGTTGGATGTCTGAAAGAAACAGTGCATATACTTGGCTATGAGGATCTCCTTAGTAAGCCTAGCATAGAAATAAGATATGGGATCCATTAATAAAGAAAGAAATATAAATGACAACAATGTTTCAACAGTAGCTGCAGTAAAAAGAGAAACTTCAGTCAGTGCAGTCTAACATGACAAGTAGCAACAGCACTCATCAGCAGGCAGTTTAAATTCTCCACTCTGAATTGTCCCACAGGCTGATTCAAGCAGAACAATTTATTTCAGTTGTAAACAGTGACAATAAGGATGTCAAAAATTATATCACTTCTTGTCTTGTTTAATAAACAGATTGTTTTTTCACATCAAACCTAAGATAATTTTTGTGTTATTTAGGATGGAATGTTAATGTGTGCTAATGGTACAATGTGTGTTCAGGCTGTTGATGCTACCTCTGGCCTCCAGGATGGTGAGTAATACAAACTGTTTATTGTTTATTATAAAGAGATACTTAAATGTTTGTTTGAAAAGAATAATTTGTTTTTTTTTTAATTTTATCGGTCTGTTTTTAGATTGTAGAAATGATCTAGACATTTTTTTACTGCATATATCTGTAAAAAAAAAAAAATTTCTGAGACTTTAAATTAACAAGTTGAGAATGACTTGCTTATCATTATTAAGCATTGAATCCTAATAAATTCAAGCAACAACAAGCAGTTAATGACTTGTCTTTATTTTGTTATTATTGTTAGCATTATATTCTCAACTCAGTGTCTTAATAACTGAGGAAAATCTTTGCAAATCTTTTCAATTAAAATCTCTTGTTTAATATATATTTTCAAATCATATTTAATACTAAATCTATTGATGTTTTCTCATTGTAGACATGCATTCTCTGAAAAACTTGCTAACATTTTTTTTCTAATTTTTATAAACTGAAAATTCATGAACATCATATAAATAAACAATGATTTAATAGATTTCAAATTAAATTTACTATGATGTATGGTATCATGCTTTAATTTTGATTTATTTTTTTTTATTTGTTTACATTTTTACCCTCTTTCCCTACACACATACATTATATATATATAATTCCATCAATGAGAACATTTAGTCTGATGACATTTTTTTTTGAATGACAAAACAAGTTCCATAGTTTTTTACTTTTTGTCATTCATTAGCCTGAGATATAGAGTTCATGTATCCCATTTCTCCCATTTTGATTGATGTAAATGAATCAAAATGCATTCATAATTTGTGTTAATTCATTCCTATGCATATATTACCAAAGCTGCATTTGGATTTCATTCTAATAACTCAAAAAAAAAAAAGAAAAGTAAACTTTGGTTTCATCTGTAAAAATTATGTAGTTTGGGTCATTTAAATTTTAATCTCATTTTCATCTACACATAACTCAGTCAGCTGATGATGTTAATGAGAGAGAGACATAAGTAGATAAATGTATATGAATTTTAACACATTTTGATATATATTTACACACTTTTCCTTTTTTAGATTCTATTGCACTGTTGGGTCCTGGACCGCCTAAGACATGTAAAAAAATTCCCCGTCACATGCAGATCTCTCGTCAGAAACAACGTCCTGGTTCAGGTTGCCTCAGTGTTATGGTGCTTATGGATGGACCTGTGAGAGTGCTGCATATTTCTGATATCCAAAAAACAGTGAGTTATCCATTTATAACTCTCTTAGTTGACATCAACTATTCAAATATTCTCCATCTAATCTAAAGCTTGATAAAAGATAAACCATTCTTGCTGCTTAAAATGTTCATTATAGGCACCTATAAAATCTCAAAGAAACGCTATAAAAAAAGTATTTATTCTTGTTCTCTTCTTAATAAGAATCATTAGTGTTCATAGGTTGGTCTTTATTTACATTGAGGCAAATCTTATTAGGCTTATAGCTGCATCACATCAGTTCCTGTATGATCACAGAAGCTAAGCAACATTGAGCTTGGTCACTACCTAGATGAGTAACTATTTGGGCATACCAGGTGATGTAAGCTTGGATATGCAGGTGGTGTAATGGATAATGGCTTGGAATTGTTAATCAGTGCTGAGTTATAATTCCTGTTGGTTTTGTTATATTCATTCACATGCAAATACCTCTTCTCCCTCATCTATGGGTTAATTAGTAATAATTATATCACTAAACCATTATTATCTCAAGAAAAAATTCTTACAATTTAAAAATATTTTATGGCTTTAAATAACCTATAAAGGGTTGATAAGCCATAAAAACAAACAAATCAATCAAGCTACTCTTATTAAGTGACATAAAGGTTACCTTAGATATAAATAAGTATGTTGAAATTAATCAATTTCATTATTTACAATTTACAGTTGGACTAATGTCCTAATTTTCATTATTAACACACATTTTAGACTATTATGCCCTCTGACCTTTATGTGTCTGTCTACAACTGTTGATTAAATAAAGGGTTCTTCAAAAATTCCCTAAAGATTACCTGGACTGACACCTGAAGAAGGTTGAAGTGCACAATGACCAAAGCATTCTGATAACAACAAAGATGAGGATATTGGTTCAAATGTAAGTAATGATAATTCCTAATCTCAAACAAGTGTATGTGGTCATGTACACTTTGAGAAGTATAGATTTAATAAGTGCAGAGCAGAATACCCACTTTTTTCCCAGTTTTGAATTTAATTTATGGTTATAATCCACAGATCTAAGCATTTTGAGTAGGAACTTTTTTATCCTTTAAGAACTAAGTTTTTTTATCCATATTGTAAGAACTTAATTAAACAAAGATTTTCCAAAAATTAATATTGTAAATAATGAAAAATATTGAGCCTTAAATTCAGTTGAATCCATTACATTGAGGCAACAGAAATGTGGGTCTACAGAAAAATGATGAGAATACTATAGACTTGGACATGTGACCAATAACAAAGTTTTAGGGAAAATAGATACAAAAAGTACACTTATATGTTCTCATCAGTGAATGTTGGGCTATCTCATCATGAAATATCTAGTGTGCAAAAATTGGAAAATGGAGAAAGAGATTTGAGGCAACAGAAATGTGGGTCTACAAAAATGATGAGAATACTATAGACTTGGACATGTCCAATAACAAAGTTTTAGGATCAGAAATATCTAGTGTGCATAAAATTGGAAAGTTTGACACTCACAGGATATATTGAACGCAAAAGGTACAGAGGAAAACATCACATAACCCACCTAACGAGTTTGTGTAGATGGTTGGCAGAATGGATTAGGGGATATAGCAAAAAGATAGATACAAAGGGCAGGAAGTTGTGGAGAGCCATGATCACCTTAAGGAACATGACACATAAAAGATCAATGTAATAATATGTAACATGAGTCATATAATTTTGTTGTCTATTAAAGTATATTAAAGATGTTAATATATTTTTTTCTATATTCTAAAAGTGTCTTCCTTTATTTTTGAAATTTAAAATAAGTCCAGGAATCTTTTGTGTGTGTATATATATATATATATATATATATATATAATGTTCACTCTGAACCGCTTGAGGTAGAGGGTTACAGAGTAAGAGGTACAATATATGGTTATATGTGGGGAAGATAACAGTTAACCTTAGAATTGAACAGGATAAGATTTTAGTGATTGAGGAAGCATCCTCTTGGGAGTCGGTTTCACAAGGCTTGGGAGAAGAAGCTGCTTAAGTGGAACTTACATCTCACCAATAGAATACAAAGGGAAATGAGAGTGGTTCACTATAATATGCATGATATGGCAGGTCTTAGCTGTGATGGTAAGAACTGGTGAAGCTAAGGAATGTAGTACATTTGAAAACTTTCCATGGAAATAGCAATGGAGCAGTGAGGGGCTGATATATACTATAAGAATATTACATGAGAAAATGTTCTGTCTTTTTTTTTTTTTTTTTTCTTTTTATGCAAGAATGGTTGGTGGTACAGCAGAGATCAATTTCACAATGCATATTTCCTTTATATGCTGTGCTTCTTTGTTTATTTTGGTTTGTGGTCACATCTTTCCAGCAGTTAAATGCTTAAATTCTCCATAATTCATAGGGAATAATAATAACCTCTTCAGTATGAACAAAATCTTTTTCTCCTCAAAATACAAAAGAGGAAAAAAAAAACAAATTAAAAAAAGATAACAGTAAAGTATCAGGGGTAAAAAAAAAAAAAATGTTGACTTTATGAGGCATATTCAAAGATTCTTGGATTGATCCACTTTCCAAAATCTGACCAGTTGACCAAACAGATTTTCTTCTTTTCTTTTTTTAAAGCTTCTTTCTTGATTGAACTTTTTAGCACCCCTCATTTTCTTCCATATAAGGTTATACAAATTTGACAAAATGTTCAGAACTGTTTTTATGCTTAATATTAGAAATTAAAAATTACTTACTGTAATATGTAAAAATGTTTTAAATTCAAATGGCATATTTTGACATCAAGCAACCATTTGTATGAAAATAGTTGTGGAATAATTTATAAGAAGGTCTAAAGGTTAGTTTCTAGATTGTGGCATAAACAAGTAATTTTTTTCTGAAAATGTTCACCTCACCTAATTTTTGTCAGTTAAAGAAAAATATTTTCTTCACCAAATCTTTTTGAATGAACGATTCTCAACATAAAAATCAATTTTTGAGTGAATTTCAAATAATACAACCCCATAATGAATAAGATGTCTTTTACTGTTATGTTACAAATCAATCTTTATTTGATGTTCATATTAACATAGGTAAAGGTTTGTCTCTATACATGTACAAATGTTTGTAGCATATAATAAAAATACAAGAAAAGTTGCAAAAAGTATACTATATAGTTTATCAATCAAAATTACATTGATTTTTTTCCATTATCAGCAAATGTCAGCATATGCAGTCTGTTGTTTGTTTATATAAACTGGGGGCATATTATTAATGTAATTTTGCTGCCTGTTGAACATCAGTGGCTATTGTTTTTTTTTGTTTGTTCTTTTCAGCAATGTTTTCTTCTCCAAATTGTCTTGAAATTCATCAGTGTTTAACAAAATTCAACTGTTAGATACCTATTCAGCATTTATCTACACATACTGAATCAAACTTAAAATTGAACTCGGAAAATATTTTGAATGATTAAGACATCAGGAGAGGGCCCATAAATCCAAACAGTTTATGCATTCTATTATTTGAAAGAAATTTTTCTATCTTCATAAAGAACGGTGTAGAACTATTATAATGTCTATTATATTTCCTTATTTTTTTTATTTTGTACAATAATATTCACCCTGTACAAGGCACAAGAGTCAATTAAGGTAGAGGGTTACAGAGTAAGAAGCACAGTTTATACAGATATGTGTGAAAGATAATAGTTGACCCTAGACAGGTTAAGATTATACTGATTGAGGAGCATCCTCTTGGGAGTCAGTTCCACAAAATAGCAGTTTGTGGGAATAAGCTGCTCAATTGGAACTTCCATCTCACCAATGGAATACAAAGGGAATGAGGTTGGTCTTAGTCTTGAAGGTTAGAACTGGTGGCACTAAGGAATATAGTTCATCTAAACACTTTCCATGGAAATAGCGATAAAGCAGTGAGAGACTTGCAATGTTTTATCTGTGAAAAAGGGATTGCAGGGTGGAAAATAATTCATCACCCACAAGGACATGGAGATGCTTTTGGACTTTATTGAGACTAGAAAGTGAAAACTGGGCAGCTCCTGCCAATATATGGTAACAGTAGTCAATTTTCAGCCTGATCTGGGTCTTGTAGAAGATAGCAAGAAGAGCCAGGTATTTACTGGAGTGGTACAGAGAACCAATTATATTTCCAGCATCTTTAATGATCGATCATATGTATGAGTTCCACTTGACATCTAGGCTGTTGTTCAATAGAAAAAGAAACACAAAACAGGTTTTAAAATAGCCATTGTTGGTAGTAACAGCTCAAAAAAATAAAATCAGTTTCCATTGTTTTTGGCGTTGGATCTCGGCAAAAGAAGAAAAAAAAATTGTCCCCAAAAAACTTGTGCTTATGTACTTTCCACTAGTCTATGATTCCATTGTTTTCACTTTTTCACAATCTTGTTATTGTAAATGATTTTGTACATTAATTATTACTGCAATGTTTTTTTTTTCCATAAAACACTGAAAACAGATGATGATACTAAACCCAAACAAAAGAATATTGTGTGATACAACAGTTATAAAGACATTTAAAACTTGATATTTTATTTATCACACAAATAAGTTACAAAAGCAACACATTTGTTTAATAGTGGCTCAAAATTATAATATGAATGATAATCAAAACATTTTAATGCTTCAATTTGTTTCATTTCAACTTTTTCTCTGACCCATTTATAAAAAGTCTCAGACAGCCAGTATCATACTGATAATTTGCTAATATGGTTCTAATGTCACTCAGTTTGGTGGTGCTGGCCCTTCCAGCCCAGCCTGTTCCCCCATGCCATGGAGTAGACCATATCACGCAAGTACTAGCGGGGCTACATTCAAGGTGACTTGCCCCATTCGCATGTCCTCATTGGCTGCTATTGTTTGCTTAATATTTATTTTTTTTAATATTTATTTTTTTAATACACTGGACTTTTAACAAGTTTTTCAGCCTCCTGAAGCTTAATTTTGCTATATTTTTGCTTGTACTGGAAATAACTTGTCTTGTCCACTGCTCCATGATAAAGACACACTTAGTGTGTGTCTCCATCATTTTTTTTTTTTTTGTTTATCCCCCTCCACTCTTTTTTTTTTTTCATCATGGTATTGTTTGCTGAAATATTTTTACCTACTTTGAGATGGGATTTTTTTTTTTTTAATACTGCTTGTTTTTAAATTTGTAATTGATTAACCTTTGGCTGATACCATGTTGCAGAAAGTATTTTTTAAAATCTTTATATTTATAGTTTCTTTTTTTTTTTTCTTTATAAACAGTGAAATGTATTACAATAAAAGCAAAAAAAATTAAACTCTTTATTTGGAGAAAAATGTAAAAATATTGTTTAATTTTAATGGCTTTTGTCTTGTGGATATCCCACCTAAACTGGGATTGTTCAAAGTTTTTCATATTTTTAGATTTACTTTATGATATATACAAAAATATCTGATTATATTTTTCTAAAACAAAAAGTATCAATATTTTAAATAAAGAAATTTTTGTCATATGGTATATGCCAGACACCATTGTAAAAAAAATTCTTTTTGCCCCTTATTTTTTTCTTTTTATAACCTTTCTTTAACAATTAGCATGTGATATGAATAATGACACTCATCTTGACAATATACATTGCATTGAAATTGGACATATTTGGTATGCAGGATTGAGGGGCATTTATTTGGGTTCAACCACGATTGGCATGTTTCTTGGTGCATTCAGAGAGGATCAAATTTACTATTAAATGGTTTGTTAGACTGGAAGACTATCTGGTGTGTAGGCTTTATTGTTATAAACAGTTTTAAATAGGTACCTCTACGAGATCGCTAAAAAAAAGAGCATAGCATGATGAAAAAGATGCCAAACTTGACAAAAACAAAATTTTATCGTCTAAATGTTTATGTTATTATTAAAAGGAAATATCAAAGTATTTTGGGGGTATTTTTTGACATTTTTTAATCGTTCTTAGCACGTCCAAAAATTTTCGTTAAAAATCTTTTTTTTTGTTTTTGTTTTTTTGCTTCAGCAAAATTGAGATGACAACCATTTTTTTTCCATTTTATAAAAAAATGAAAAATCTCACTTTGAAATTCTTTTAAATATCAATTATAATTTTTTTTTTCAAAACTTATTTTAAGAAAATCAGAAATTATAATGTTTATTTAAAATATTTTGAACCAAGATTAACTTAGATTCTGCGCCGAAAAGATGTAATTTGAAAATAAAACAAAGCAGGTCATAAACTTTCGCCTCACTTGACAGGTGATGAATGACATATTGACAGATTCCGTGAGGATAATTTGTTCTATGGAAGGAGAAAAGTAAAATTATTTACATTTAAGTGAACAAATTATTTACCTAGTTCTTATTAAGGAAAAATTTCAGCGCTCTAAATTTTTTTTTTTTTTTTCTTAGCTTTCACCTTTATGTTTACGATGCTTTATGGAAAATATATTAAAAGAAATTAAAATAAGACTGTTAAGAATGAGATTAAATTTCATATTTCATAAGAAAGGTATCTAATTAATTTATAGGTACCTTTCTTATGAAATTTTATCAGAAGTGTACATAAAATACTATAATTTTATGTACATTTATTACATTTTACTGTGTTATTTGTATTTCCATTCATTTTATTATTAATTTTGATATTTCATTTATGGAAAAATGTCATAACTGAGATTAATATAAAAATAAGATCATATAAATTTCATAAGATGATACTGATACTTGTAGGTACCCTTCTTAGTTGAAATTGAAAAATCAAATTAACTTCTCCACACGTGTTTTGCAAAAAGTAAAGGCCTTAACAGCGGAGAACAATGCTTAACTCAAATAAAAGCAACTTAATTGTATTCTGGTTTGTCTTCCGTACTTTATAATTAGAGCCTGATTATAAACACAAAATTACATTTCTTAATTACTGTGGGTCTTCTGATTAGTCAAAATGATACCATTTACAACGCGCTAAAAAATGATCTATCTCATAAGGACACTTAGGAAACCTGATGCGGCTTTTAACTAATTTTATAATATTTTAACAACTTAAATGTAAAAATCTATTATAATTAAAGAAATAACAAATAATTGTATTAAAAATTCATTTTTCATCGAAAAATTGTTTTTGCTTTCAGAAAATATTGTCCATATTCATAAAAACAAATAAAAGCAAATAAAAGCATTTGAAATTAAAAAATATATTTGTTTTATTGAGTTTTGTATGTTACAATTCAGAACTGATTTTTGGGTAGGGGAGATCCAATTAAAAACACAAGAAAACATGATTTGCATTCCTTGTGCTTTTAACTATTGTAATCATTAACCTGATGCAATCAAATTTCTAGCATTTTCATAAAATTAGTAAGGTGGGGGGTAATAAATATAAAAAAAAAATATTTCTGCCATGACTTTAATAAAAAAAAAAAACATAATAATTTTGATCATCTATGAATAGTTTCTGAAAGTTTCATTAACATCCCACGATTATTTTTATTTTTGCAAGATTTTCCAAATTAATGTGTGTCATACAAAAAAAAACATGCTAAAAATTGTATATGTTATTTTACTAGTTCTGGTGATACAAAGAGAAACAAGGTTTTTTTAATCAAAATTTAGAATGTTCTAAAAAGAAGGAAAAATTTAAAAAAATAAAATAAACTTTGATCTTTCCTCTTAATAATAAGAAGCATTTAGACGATAAAATTTTGTTTTCGTCAAGTTTGATATCTTTTTCATCATGCTATGCTCTTTTTTTAGCGATCTCATGGAAGTACCTAGTTTTAAGTTATCTAAAATTCAGAACCAGCATGTTATTTCAAATATCACTTAATTCAATAAAACAAGCTTTTAATCTTTTATCTGCCCAAATTGAAACTTCTAATGCCTTCTTTCTTCTACGCTCTGAAATGAATCATTCCAATTGAACTTGTAATTGGAAAGATCCAGTTTAGTGATACTGGAATAAATTTACTTACTTTTAAATAGAAATAGAAATAAATTTTCCTAACTAACCATATTAATTGATTTATTGTTAATTTACTGATCTTGCATGGGCAAGGCTGAAATGGCATTTTTATGATAATCTTAATTTCTTTTTGTAATTATTACATCTACTTATGACATTGCATTTAAAAATAGTGAACAGACAAATTGAAGCAAAAAAAAAAAAAACAAATATCTGTGCTTGCTTTGTTTTCTTAGAAAAAGAATATATCTTTTTTTTTTTTTTTTTTTTTTTTTTATAAATTGCAGTGTTCACTTATTTATTACGTATAGAACAGGTTTTAAATCTGACTATTAAAACTTTCTTTTTAAAAAATATCTAAGAAAAATAACAGGCTTATCTGCTGAATTTTATGAAAAATAACTTCATAAGATAACAAATATTTTTTATTATGGAAACACTGATGCCTAATCATAAATATATATCCGGCCAGGAATTATTCAAAGAATTTGTTATATTGAGAAATCATTTTCAAAACTGAGAACAGTTTTGTGCTTCTTGCTTCAGTTTTATACAAAACTTATTTTTCTTTTCTTGACTTTTAAATTTACATTTATATGTTAGGTTATAAAATAGATTTGTAATGGTTATTTTCCTATTATCAATAATATCAGGTAGTATCAAAGGACTTAAAAAGAATGAAAAAAAAAAGTTACTTTTGCTTTTTAAATTTTCTTTTCAGTTGAATTTCTTGATGTTGATATTACAGTTTTTCAGCTGCTCCAGTTTTCATCAATTATCAGAAATATTTTCATTAATACACCAATTGGAACAATTCATTTCAGTAATGCTAAATACACAGATCATATTGTCACCTATGTACTTGATTCCAATCAATTCATTTTGTTTGTCAAGTAGAGAAAATCCTTGTCGAAATTTATACTAGCCTGATTTACACACCTGACCATTTTGTGAAAATTTTTATTTATAATTATAAATAATATTTTTTACATTGCACAAAATACTTAATTTTGTCAATACATTCATAACTACATCATGAAATAAAAGCATTTATTTTGTACAACAAATATTCATTTTTTAGCATAATCTTTTTTGTCAATGCACTCAATACTTCTCTGTTAATAACATTGATTAAACATACAGTGAAAATTTCTGATAAAAATTCTATCAGGTGTGGCTTGTACACTCTTTAAATTTCATACTGAAAATTGAAACTTGTGTACCAAAGCAATGATAATAATAGTTGAAGTATTGAATCACAGCATAATGAAAGAAATAACTAGTTTATTTCTTTTCTAAGTTTTTGGTTGAATATTTATTGGACTTAAGGTTAATCTTAACATATCACTGATTTTATGTGTATAGAATTGGCTATAAAAATACTTACTTTAAATTTAGACACCCAATCCAAAGGATTAAAAGGTCTTTACCCACAACATCATTGCTAATCTAGATATCTACAGTAAGCATAAGGTATCTGAGGAGACATTGAAAACCGTAAGAAAAACAACCACATATTACATATAAATCGGTACAAAACTTGTTATACATATGCAGTAATGGTTGGATTACATGTTTATTTGAGATAACTGCTTTTAGCCACATTGATGGCTTCAGTGTGAGACCAGACTCATTGACATGCATGCATCACATGGCCTGTATTGACACTGGACATTACTTGATTAAAAGTGGCTTTCTGGGAATCAGCTGTATTGAAAATGTTGATTAGTCTCCTGTTCAACAATACCTCACATGTGATAATGATGGGGATTTAAGTCAAGTGGCCTCATGTTTGGTGTAATGTAGTTATGCAAATTAGCTGCCATCCAATCTTGGATCACTGCAGCTTTGTGAACAGGTGCAGTGACCTACTGAAGCACATATG